GACCTTTGAAAAGGATAGGGCAAAGACTCAGAGGAAATATTTTGCAAGCTATTTCTGATCAAAGTTTTGTAAAATAAATAAGTTATATATATATATATATATATATATATATGTTATATATATATATATATATAAAGAACTCTTACGCCATACTAAGAAGACAACCAATAAATTTTTCTAGTGATGAAAGATTTGAACAAATATTCAACAATGACATAGAGATGACAATGAATACTTGAAGAATGCTTAACATTATTAGTCATCAAAAAATTCTAATAAAAGCTGGGTATGGTGACTCAAGCTTGCAATCCTACCTATTCAGGTGGTTGAGATCTGAGGGTTCAAAAGCAGCCTGGGCAGGAACGTCTGTGAGACTCTGATCTCCAATTAATTACCAAAAATCTAGAAGTCAACCTGTGGCACAAGTAGTAGAGTACTAGCCTGGAGCAAAAAGGCTCAGGGAGAGTGCCTGAGTCCCGAGTTCAAGCTACACACACACACACACACACACACACACACACACACACACACACACACACACACACACACACACACACACACACACCCATGGTAGAATACCAACCAAGCACCTAGTAGAATAAAATAAAAACAAAACAAACATCACGTGTTTAGTGAACATATGGTACAAATAGAAAATCATATTTTAGATGGAAATGACAAATGGAATAGTTTCTTTGGAAAATGCTCTGGAAGTTTCTGAACAATATTAAACATTCATTTATCATATGACTCGAAAGTCCCACTCCTGTATTTACTCAACTTGAATGAATATATGAGTTCACTGAAGACCTTCCCATCCACATTCATAGCACAGCTATTCTTAATAGCCAGAAACAGGAAACAATTCAAAGGACCACTCAATAGTAAAGGAATAAACAAACTATAGTGCATCCATACAATGGGAGATTGCTTAGTGATAGAAGACAATGCATATGGTTGGACCTCAAAAGCATTTTGCTGTGTAAAATAGTCAGAAAAAAATTACTTTGGAATGATTATGTTCAACTTACAATAGAATACTTATATATATATATAGTTATATATATATAATATATATATAGTTTTGTTTTTGTCAGTTGTGGGGCTTGAACTCTTCAGCTCAAGGCTGGTGCTCTACCACTTGGGCCACAGTGCCACTTTTGGTTTTCTGAGGGGTTTATCGGGGATAAGAGTCTCACAGATTTTTCCTACCCAGGCTGGCTTTGAACCACGATCCTCAGATCTCAGCCTCCTGAGTAGCTAGGATTAAGGCGTGAGCCACCAGTGCACGGCTGAAATACTTATATTTTATATACAATATACATTCTGGAAGTATTAAAACTAGAGAAACAAATCAATGTGACCAGACGCTGGTGATGGCATCAGGGGTTCTTGCATGTTGATTGTGGTGGTGAGTACACAGCTATATTTGCTTTTCAAAAGTTATTAAATTGCACCGTACATCTAAAAAGTATTTATTACTATATGTAAATGACAGCACAATAAACTGATTTTTATAACAAGGGAGGAAATTTTATCATATGCTACAACATGAATGAGCCTTGAACACATGAAATAGATAAATAAAAACCCAAAGAGAGACCAATCCTCTGTGATTCCACTCATATGGTCCTGAGCTGTCAAATTCATAAAGTATGAAGATAAAGATCGGAGTAAGCGAGCCAGGCACAGGTGGCTCAGGCCTGTAATCATAGCTAGTCATGAAGCCAAGAGCTAGAAGGTTAAAGTTTGAAGCCAGCCAAGCAGAAAAGTCCATGAGATTCTATGGATTCTTCAATTAACCAGCAAAAAATCAAGCTAGAGTTGTGGCTCAAGTGGTAGAGTATCAGCCATGGACAATAAAGCTGAGTGAGTGTGAGGCCCTGAGTTCGAGCCCAGGTTCAGGTACCAAAAAATAACGAGGGGAGAATTTGAGGATGTTCACAGTGCAACTAACTGCTGAAATGGAAAGAGAGAAGGTAAAATAAAGTTCAACTTGTGGGGAAAATTTTTCTAAAGATCAATAAAGTTTGAGAAATGGGAATACTTTCCAGAGGAGAAGAAGAAGAAGAAGCAAGAATATGTGTATATTCTGCCTACTGGAAAGCCAAAAATATCTACATATATATAATATATATATATATATATGGAAAGTCATTTTATATAAATACTGGTAAGTTAAGAACATAAAGGAAGATATTTTTAGCTTTTCAGTGCTGTGGATTGAACCAGGGTCAGAGGCATACTAGGTAAGCACTTTGCTATTGAGCTAGCCCTAAGAAGATACAAATTTTACCCTCAAAAATTATGAAGTTGAGTCTTTATTCTAATTTCCAAAGCTATAGCCTCTGCCTAATCTAAATGACTTTTTTCGTGTTTCTAAAATAATAAAATAACATTAAGAAAATATATTTAGAGAATAACATAAGAAAAATTGATTCATTCATTACCCAGTTTAGTCAATTCTTTCATTTGCTTTGGTGATAAATAAATACATTTGTTAGTTAATGCACAATGTGGCATATAGCCCCTATTGACCAAATATAACATTCCATCAGACCTGGGACTTGACTGACAACAGAGGTGAAATTGGAGTACCGAAAACAAGATAATCGAAATTTGAAAAGAGGCACCATTACTAAAAAAGAATATGGAAAGAAAGGAGAATGGTAAGATATGAATTATGAAAAAGTGGTGAGTAAGGAAGGGTAGGCTAATTGGTAACAGTATACTAAATTCTAGATATCTAGTAGTCTATAGAAAACAGAATTAAGTTACATAATTTCAGCTTTATATGTCACTTTGTTAGAAGCATCAACAGAAGTGATAACTAGAACTCCATAGCTAGACCATTAAGAAGGAAATAAAGCTTGTTATAGTGCCTCACATCTGTAATCCCAGCTGCTTAAAGAGGTAGAGGTAGGGAAGATCATAGTTTTAGACTAGCCTAGGCAAAAAGTTTTCCAGACCTCATTATTCTTAGCCTCAGAGAGGATTGATTGTGATCCAGTTTGAACCAGGCAAGAGCAAATTTTCTATCTGAAAATTAACTATAGCTAAAAAGTACTTGGGGGTATGGTTCAATTGCCTAGTAAGTGTAAGACTTTTGAGTTCAAACCCCAGAACCACCCCCACCCCGCAAAAAAAAAAAAAGACAAAAAGCAGTCTTTACTAAACAAAAATGTCTAGCTAAAAAGCTACTGCTTAGCAAGAGTGGCTACAGGGGACTTACTGATACCATGACACTTCAGAACTTTAGAAACTTGGACTTCATCACAATTCATGGAAATTTAACTTTGCAGTTGGTGAAAACATTTGCCAAGGAAACTTGAAAAAAATAATTCCAGGAAAGGTACATCCTGCCTTGAAGGGTAGAGTCAACACCATGAAGAACTTTCACAAAATCGTGTATAACACTACTATTAAAATACCAATGGAAACTAGGGGCTGGTGGCTCATCCTTATAATCCTAGCTACTCAAGAGGCTGAGATTTGACAATTGTGATTCAAAGCTAGCTGAGCAGGAAAGTCTGTGAGACTCTTCTGACCAATTAACCACCAGAAAACTGGAAGTAGAGCTGTGACTCAAAGCAATAGAGCTCTAGCCTTGGAAACAAAACTTCAGAGACAGTGCCCAGGCCTTGAGTTCAAGCCCCAAGACAGACAAAAAAAACCCCACAAAAACAAACAAACAAAAAACACCAATGGACAATAATCAGGGAGGATTCTTGTCTTCTTTTCATGTGATCAGCATGAGATTCCAAAGTAGCTAACGTCTACTGACAGGTAACTTGATACTCACCAAGTAAAACAATCAGATGTATTCCAATCTTTCCCTTTGTATTAATAGAATTATTCTAGGTACATAAAAGCCAAAAAGTATATTTCTTCAGAGTACTCTGTCTTATTTTCACTTTCTCGCCAATTAAGAAAAATTTATGGGGGCTGGGAAGGTGGCTCAGTGGTAGAGTGCTTGCCTTGCAAGCCTGAAGCCCTGGGTTCGATTCCTCAGCAAAAAAAGAAAAAAGCCGGAAGTGGTGCTGTGGCTCAAGTGGTAGAGCGCTAGCCTTGAGCTGAAGAGCTGAGGGACAGCGCCCAGGCCCAGAGTTCAGGCCCCACAACCGGACCAAAGAAAAAGAAAAATTTATGAAATTTTAATAAATCAGTACAATCTGTTCATCCTTTAGCAAATATTATTTCAAATGTATTTTATCTATACAAGGATCTCTCTAATGGCTTTTTTAAATATTTATCTACCCATAGCTATAACTACACAGATTTTTAAAAAATTCTTCATAGGGGGCTGGGAAGGTGGCTCAGTGGTAGAGCGCTTGCCTTGCATGCTTGAGGCCCTGGGTTCAATTCCTCAGCACCACATAAGCAAAAAGAAAAAAGCCGGAAGTGGCACTGTGGCTCAAGTGGTAAAGTGCTAGCCTTGAGCTGAAGAGCTGAGGGACAGCGTCCAGACCCAGAGTTCAGGCCCCACGACCAGACCCCCCTCCCCCCCAAAAAATTCTTCATAGTAGCCATACTAAAGAATTCAATCAAATTAGTTTCCTAGGATGGTCAGTTTATAATAAAAGTATTTTATGAAAATGTCATAATTCATGGCAATCTAACTTTGTAGCTGGTGAAAGCATTTGCTAAGGAAACCTGAAAAAAAAATTTATGCATTGTCTTATCACAATGTTGCTGCTATCACTGATTTCTTTTCTCTTCCTTTTTTTTTTTTTTTTTTTGGCAGTACTGGAGTTTGAACTCAGGGCCTCATATATGCGCAAATGTTGCTTTACCACTCAAGCCATACCTCCAGTATGGCATTTTACTGGTTAATCAGAGATGATGTCTCAGGCTTTTTGCCCAGGATGACTTCAAACTTCTATCTTCTGAACCTTGGCCTCCTAAAAATCTAGGGTTACAATTGTGCACCATTGGCATTCAATTAAATTGTTTTGATAAGGAGACAAAATCTGAGTTGTTGTTGTTTTTAAAAAGATTACTGCTGTTTTCAGCAGCACATTTGTAAAATTTGGAATGATACAGAGATTAATATGGCCCTTGTGTAACAAGGACATGCAAATTCATAAAGTACTCCATATTCTGATTTTTTTTAAATGTACAGCATACTCAGGCACTGGTGGCTCATGCCTGTAATCCTAGCTTCTCACAAAGCTAAGACTGAGGGTCACAGTTTGAAGCCAGCCTCAGCAGAAAGGTCTGTGAGAAATCTTACCTTTAATTAACTAGCAAAAGCCATAAGTGGAACTGTGGCTCAAGTGCTAGAGTATCAGTGTTGAGTGAAGAAGCTAAGGGAGAGCACCCTGCCCCTGAGTTCCATTCTCATTACAGGCATAGAAAAAAGAAAAGAAAAGAAAAAAAAGAAAGTAAGAGAAAAGACAGCATGTATGCACAATGGAGTATTATTTGGCCATAAAAAGAGTGAAACTAGGTTATTTGCAGGAAAATGGATAGAACTACAGATCATCATATTAGGTAAAATAAGTCAGAATGAGAAATACAAATACTACATGTTTTCTCCCAGGCCTAAAAAAAAGAAAAAAAAATTACCCAACTGTAAAAGAGGAAGGTTTTAGGAAGTGAGGGGATTTTTTGGGGTGAGAACCAGTGGTAACATGAAGGAGACAGTAAAGGGAGTGAATATTATTAAAATATTTCATATGTATGTATGAAAATAGAATCATGAAACTTGCTAAAATTGTTCAAAAAGGGGGTAGAAAAATAAGAAAGAGCAATCGATGGGTGAATTTTATCAAAGTATACGTATATATGGAAATATCACAGTAGAACTCATTTATACAATAAGGAAAAGGAGAGGGGATGTGGGCCATGATAAGGTTCTAGATCTCAGTAATGGTGATTGTTTTCAAATGAATTTATTATTCTGAAATGGTTTAAGTGACTATTTCTATCTGTATGCATTTACCACAATAGAAATAGAAGAGAGCATATTTTCTTTTGTCCAGCCTGATTCTCCCCTGCATTATTTTTCTGGTAATTGTATTTGGTCTGAGGTGGACAAACACCTAATTTGAATTTTATTTATACAAAAAAAAATTTAAAGACAATGCCAAGAGGAACAGAGAACTTTGTCATTTAAGTGAAGATGGCACATAACATTTCCCTGCACAAAATTTAGATTCAGATATTAACATTTTTCCCAAATATTCAAGTCCTTTTAGGAAAGAGAGAGAGAGAGAGAGAGAGAGAGAGAGAGAGAGAGAGAGATCAGATATGCTGATGTCTATTCCCCAGGCAGGTCCCTGCAGCCTGACCTCCTCCCAGCAGTGGGCAGTTTCTAGACAACACATAAACAAGTGTCTGACAGAAAGGGCAGTGGCTTCAGGCGCAGATGATAGCTTACCCTAACAAAGCAGGGAAGTGGAGACCCCAGTTTATTTACAAAGCCTACGTGCTAGAATCAAGGAGATAAAGCTGTTCCCAGGAGGAGCAACATCTGCACTAGCCCAGCCCAATAACAACACTTTCTAAGAACCTCCAAGCCCAGGCTGAGCCAGACTGCTCACAGTTCTCAAGACAGGAGAAATCTACACTTTTGCTACTATAGGAGAACACTGCAGAAACCCCATTAGAGCCCCAGATTCCACCCCATCCAGCCTTGTTAAAATAGAGGGAAGATGAGTGGGAAAACGCAGTCACATCTGTGAAAATGGAACTAGGTAAATTGAGGGGATGTGTGGGGAGAAATGGGGAGAACAATGAAAGGGGTGACATTGATCAATATGTACTGCACTCACAAACTGACATGTTGCATTGAAACCCTTTTGTACAATTATCTGAGAAGATACATATGAGAGACTCATCACAGTTAACCAGCAAAAAGCTGGAAGTGGGGAGGAGGCTCAAGTGGCACAGGGAAAGCCTGGAGTGAAAACACCAAGTGAAAATCTATGGACCTGAGGCTCAAGCCCGAGTACCAGATAAAAGAACTTGGAATGTGGACCTGGAAAGACCAGAGTCTCCTTAGCTTATCTTCCCCTTTCCAGTGGCAGATGCTGTGACAAATTCCCCAAGGCTTGCTCTCTGAGACACATGCCTGCTGAGTAACCTGGCTTCCCATGGCTGTCTCTTGTAGGAGACAGTTAGCAAAAGATTGATCTCCACTCATACCTTTAATACATACATACTTTCCTTTCTCTCTCTTAGGTTGAGTGCTAAAACCAAGAGGTGGTGGGTGGTGGGGCGGAGGAGTACTGGAGCTTGAACTCATGGCCTGAGCTTTTTTTCTCAAGGGTGGTACTCAATCACTTGAGCCACATCTGCTCTTGCACCTTTTCGTGATTAACTGGAGATAAGGGTCTCACAGAGGTTTTTCATATTTATATTGTTTATTATATGCAAATTATCATTTCTATAGCCATCTATTACTGATGCATATGGAAAGTGATTTAAGTTTATGGCTACTATAAATGGCATTTCAGTGAATATTCTTGTGTAGCATTTTTATAGGACAGATTGCTAAACGCATTGAATGTATTGAGTCAACATGTACATTCAAAATCGTAGTACGTTTATTTTCTAAATGTATATACTAGCATCCTGTGAATATTTTCTCATTGCCTTTTAAGCACTGGGTATTTTGTTCATTAAATTCATTGCCCCTGATGGGTAAATACCCTAATGCTTATGATCGCTTCATCTCACTTTTTCTCAGAGATTGATTTTTCTATATCTATGAGGAATGACAGTGGGATTTTGATGAGAATTTAATTGAATACTTTCAGTAGTCCAGCTATTTTCAAACATTAATTCTGCCAGTCCATGAACATAGAAGGTTTTTCTATCTTCTGATTTCTTTTTCAATTTCTTTCTTCATCATGGACTTTTTTTGTCCTAGCTGGTTTCAAACCACAATCCACAGATCTTAGCTTCCCAAGTAACTAGGATTACAGACATGAGCTTCTGGTACTCAGCCAAAAAGATATTTGGATGATGGTATGGTTTTGGATGCCATGATCCAGAAGTGCAGAGGGGCCGGAAATGCTCAGGGAGAACCAGCCTACCTCACACCTCACATACCTTTGTGACAGAATGAGGATGGTGAAAGCCAGGAGTTTTGTAGATGCTGCAGGGTAGAACCCTGGCTAAGCTGGAGCCAGGGCTGGAGGAAAGATTAAGGGAGTAGCTAGAGCCCTGCCAGTGTGCCTTCTGGTGAGAAGGCACATTTGTTTAATAACTCCTTCTTGCTCTTTACTTCTCCCATCTCTCCATTTGTCAGCCTTGAACCTGACAGAATGACCTCTTAGTCCCTTCTAGGGTCTTCCATGTTTGCCCACACAGCCCTCTGCCTAGTGTCCCTCCTCTCTCTATATATACACATTTACCCAAGGGCATTATCACTGTTCTTGTCACTGTGTGTGTGTGTGTGTGTGTGTGTGTGTGTGTGTGTGTGTGCATGCACCATTACTGGGGCTTAAATTCATGGTCTGATTACTTTTTTGCTCAAGGATGGAGCTCTGTCACTTGAGCCATACCTCTATTTCTAACTTTTTGAATAATTAATTGAAGATAAGAGTCTCATGGGCTTTCCTACCTGGGCTGACTTCCAACCATTATCCTCAAATCTCAACTTCCTGCGTAATAGGATTATAGGCATAAACCATGCATTCCCGGTGCAGTTTTCACTGGAAGCTTTATATCTGTCATCCCTGGAAATGCAAATGTCACTGGAAATTCAAATTGTGCATTCCAAATTAAGCCCCTTTGATCCCCCATGCCTGAAATGTGAACTTGGTGAGTTTGTCGAGTAAGGATAAGCCTGGGGGGCTGAAATTTGCCACCCAGTTTCCTCCTGGAGGTAAAGAGATGCTGCTTGCAGGATATGTCTGCTGTTTACACTTCTTAACAATCTCACCTCTCATTTGTTATGCTACTAATAGTAACAGGATCTTTATTTCCAGCAGGGAAGGGAGTTGATGGTTATTCTGTGTGCCTCAGGGTGTGACCTCAAAACCCTAGTGATGCCTCTCCCAGGAAAAGTTCCAGATCCAAGATGACCACCCCTAAGTCCCCTGAGCACCTAGTCTCTGCAGACAGCCCCATGCTGCAAACCAACAGCCAAGTACATTTGTATCTCACCATAGATCACCCTCTCCTTTCCCTCTAATTCTGTCACATATTTCTCCTATTCTTTCCCATTGTTCTCCATGTCTTACATTTATCTTTGTTCCATTTCTCTCCACTCCCTGTAGACTGGTGAAGCCACTGTGCACTGCACTAGAACTCAGTGAGACAGGACATCTCTCCTACTTGGCTCCTTCATAGACAGTCATCTTGGAGAACATTCTGAGCTTCTTAGAACCTCCGAATTTTCATCTACTGTATGGGTATCAGGCAACATCCTTGATGTCTTCATCTTATTACCCCAAGCTGTTTCCCACTCCTTTGGCCCTGATTTCTTCATTGCTTTCTCTCATGAATTGACACATCATTTTTTGTTTTGCTGGTTCTGGGGCTTGAACTCTAAGTTCTGGGTGTGGGTATTGTCCCTGAGTTTTTGTGTTCAAGGCTAGCTTTCAACCACTAGAGCCACAGCTCCACTTCTGGCTTCTTTTTTATTTAATTGTAATTTAATGGAAATAAGAGTCTCGTGGACTTTCCTGATCAGGCTGGCTTCAAACCTCAGTATTCACATCTCAGCCTTCTGAGTAGCTAGGATTATAGGCATGAGCCAGCACACCTGGTGACATATCATTTTTTGTTTGTTTTTTTACAACATTTCCATTGTGCATATAATAATCATATTTGGTCATAGTCATGATCTCGATTACCTTTTCTTTCCCTCCCTCTCTCCAGTTTCTCCTTCCACATATCCAATATCCCTTTTATGTCATTTTCCCCAGTCTAAATTCCACATATGAAGAACATTGATGCTTTCTTTGTAAGATTATTGTATTTCACTTAACAAGATCTCTAGTTCCAAATGTTTTCCTAAAAATAACAATAATATAATTTTGTTTTTTATAGTTGAATAAATTTCAATTGAATTTATTCAATTGAATAAATTTATTCAAAAATTTTATTCAATTGAATAAATTTCAATTTATAAATATGTATGTATGTAT